TGGAAGTGTGGAGCATTGATCCACTCTGGGGAAGGGACACTGAGGTGCCAAGCAAACCCCTCCCGAGCAGGCCTCAGTATGCATTCACCACACAAAACCCACTAAAATCAATTCCAGGGGAGCATTAGATGCAAACAAGCCAGCTCACAGGTGTGTCCCCCTGGACAACTTCACATCAACAACTTCAAGGCATCAAGGCTTTAAAATAAAGGCCCACCATTAACAAAAAAACTTATTTTTTGCAGCTTCCTTATCTGTTCCACCCATGGGTGTGCAAAATGGCTCATCTCTTTGGAAGGTCCCAGCAGGTAGCTCTGCATAACCTGTGCAAATCCATGTAATGCCTCTGCACGTAAAGAGGCTGCTGATGAGTTATAGAATATGTAAATAACAATAGATGGGTGTAAATAACACAGGGGCAGGTGCAAAACCTGAACCCCAAGCTGAGTGCAGTGAAAGGAAGAGCTGTGTGGCACCCCCCACCAACCCAGCCCATGGGGAACATCACTGAGGCACGTTGCTGTAACTGTGTGAAGAGATGGCATTTCACTTGCTGGGTATCTTCCTTCCCTTCCAACTGCCACAGGCTTAAGCAATGGACGAAAATTTTCTGCCTGAAGCTGGAATTACATCCAAAATTATTAAAAAAAAAATAAAATAATGAATTTTCCCTGTTGGAATGCGGAGGAGGAAGCTGCAGGGAACACAGAGAGCAGCCCAGCCCTGGTGAATTGGGAAACTGCCACACAGCCAAATTCACCAGCATGCAGGAGATAAGGGTGTGCTGCTGCCAAGGCCTGTCAGGGTGTGTGAGGTGACAAACAGCACTTGCAGGATGGCTTTCCAGAGCAGCAAACCAAATGTTGCTGCCTCACCCCATTCCGTCCCTCTAGCAGGAAAAGGAAGCAAATATTTCCAGGGTTTCCCCTCTCCCTGAGGCAGTTTTTCACTCCCCTGACTCTCATTCTTCCTCCTTCTTGTCCAGGTCCCTTCTAGGGTAAGTCCAGCCTGTCCTAACTCCTTTTTCTTCAACACAGGAGGTTTTGATACCGTCTGTGGCGCCAGGCTGCCCTGAGGCAGCCCTGCTCAGGCGGGTGTTCTGTCCTGCACCAACTGTGTGGGCAGTGCTTCTCAACCTGGGATCCCCTCCCACGCTTCCCACTGCACCCGAGTTCTCCAGGCCTCATCACAGCATGTTTCCCAGAGCTAGATGGGATGCTGCTCCATAGAGCTTTGCCAATTAGCCATAGCTCACAGACTGAGAAACTCACTATGAGCACAAGTCTGTCAAACACACTTGGCAGAGCCTGATGTATTTTGATAAGGGGTCCCAAGCCATGAGCAGTTCACACTCCCTCTATTCCTGGTCACCCATCCAGGTTTGTCCTGACAGCCAAGGAAAACAACATAATTTACATAACTAGTAACCTTTGCTGGACTCTTCCACTCCTGCACGATGATGCTGCCCCAGATGAAAAATTGCTACTGCTTTTAATTCAGAGGATCCCTCAGCTTCTGTGAGAGAAAGAACGACCATTTTTAATTAAATCAGACAGAATTGGCTTTATGGCTTTCCCCCACTGCTCAGTGATAGATCTCCCTGTAAATCCCTCTCAGTACATACCCTGCTGTCTCACTCACTATTACTCTTGTACCCTGGGGGTCGATATCCTGCCAAGCAATACTTGTTTAAAATTCTCAAATGCGCAAATTTGGCACAAAAACTGGGGCAAAGGGCATCCCCCTGGTTACTGCAGCTGGGTGGAATCTTCCCACCTCAAAGTCCACGAGCTGTTTACATCAGCTCATTTAAGCTGCACAACAAAATGAACCCTCCTTGCTAGGCTTGCTCAGGCAGCCTAACACATGCAACAGGGAGTGCTACGCAGAAGTGCTGCACAACGGGGTCAACTCTTGAAGGCACCAGCAGATTTTCAGCTTGTGCTAAGACTGATTCACTTGTAGCTGACGTCAATCCTCCCTCCCAACTATCTTGGCCTTGGGATTGGAGCATGATAAATATCACCTGTAATGCCATCTGCTGTACAGAGGCAGCCCAGGCCTCTCACTATTTAAGGGCTAATGTTGTGCGAGACCAGAATGCAGTTTGACTTCGTTTTGGCTCTAATTAAAAATGCCTGTCCACTTGGATTTTTAAAGTCATCTGTCATAGAGTAAACCTAACGTTTGCCTTGAAAAGACCAAGAAGCTCAGGCAGCACAGTTAGAAACAAAGAGAAAACCAATGGGAGAAGGACAATGATAGCAGACTGCTCCACGTGAAATAGTCAAGAGAAGAGTCAGAGGATGAGCATCTCAGGATGGGGAGCCAGGACCTCCCAAACCCCTTTGGTCTGTGAAATCCTGGAGAGCTGATTTATTTTGTGTATCAGCTTCTCCATAAAATACAAACTGTTGTAGTTCAACAGGGGCTGTGATGTTTGGTCAGTGGTACAACTGGAGTGGCATCAAACCACTGAAAACACATATTTAGATCAAGTAACACACATCCAAACCTCTTTCCCCTTAGGAGTTTCTCCTAATTTTAAAAGTTTACAGTAACAGGAATTATACCACCTCCTAGAGAAGCTAGTTGACTAGGGTAGTTCTTTTGACCATTTTTGTTACAAAAAACTTCTTAACATCAAAACCTGAGTCAGTTCAAAGCCTGGCATATGGTGTGTTCAGAAAGAACATCACCTCTTCAGCCAAAAAGCAGCTTTAACACCTCGTCCACCATCATTTAGAAGACTGTGGTTATTACACTTATTCTACTCAGAGTTAGTTTAAATGTCCAAAATAGAATTAAACTGTTTAATCAAAATTATATGTGCCCATGGGCAATATTTCTGTTCTTGTTCTGCTGCAGAGCAGGATGTTGACTTCACCAGTTTACTCACTTGGAATTGCACCTTTGTAGCTAATTTCAGGACAGAAATTGGTGCACTGTTCTGAAAACCCTGGTGTCTTTTGTTTTGAGGAGCAGCAATAATTTCAGATGTGTAAAAGTAATTATTTAAATCTAAAGTAAATTTAAAAAGGAAGGGCTGTGATAAAAGTTACATAGTAAGGCTGGATGAGAGAAACTGAAATATAAGTGAGTGCTTTTTGCTTAGTCTTGACATTTCATTAAGACATATGTATTAATTTTATTTGTGTTTGTAATCAGTCACTTCCCCTGCTGTTACTGTACTTGATGGAAGTTAATCCTGCAATGTTTGGATTGCAAATGCCACACTATAAAGCCTAAATGCAAATCAAAATCTTGCTGCTTAAAATATTATTAAAACAGCAATATAGTCAATCCCTAAACATGTTTTTTAATAGGGATCAATCTACTGCCTCTTAAACTGCTTGAATTTTAATTTTATTGGACTTCCCACATGAGGCTCACTGCACCCTTTTTAATTATTAATCAACTCATGTTGGAAGGATAAATTAAAAACTCTGTGATGGAGAACACGCATTATTTATTAATGTCCTGATCTTGTCCTGCACACTATGGAGTTTGTTCTTTGGAACCTGTTTCAGAAGCCTAATACAGGTGTGTTTTCTGATGGTGGGATTTTTCAAGTGGTTTTTCTTATACTTGGCTTTTGTCCTCTCTGGATGACAAAGGTTGGGGTTTTTTTCCCCAATTTTCTTTACGTTGCTTTCTGCAGGAACTTCACTTTCTGCAGCCTGTCTGTGTGTGCATATTTCTGGAGAGGCTTCATGACTTCACTGAACTATCGCATCTGATGGTTAAGAAATTCCAAGTTAGCAATTTAAACATTAATAAAGAAGAAACTGAAGTGACAGAACATCTACATTTGTTCTATTCTTTTATAGCAAGTATTGGGGAAGAGGTGAGGTAAAATGGTGGTCTGAGCAAAGCCCTAACTTACTTCTGAAAAGAAAGAAAAGGTCACAAGAAAAACAGATTAATTACATTAATATTTTGCTACTGAACAGCTGCACAGTTCTGTTCTATTTCAATTGTAGATTGAAGATTGACATTTATCAGGAAGAAATAATACCTCCTTATTCATCCAGCTCCTGCCCACATGCATTCAGGGTGCAATCTGTGCTTGGAAACAGCTCACAACAGATTTCAGCAAGGCTTGGTTTCCATCTAGGAGTCTGGTCCCCCGTGCACCATCAGCTTTGCAAAGTAATCCTGGATGCAAAAAGAATGTATTAAATTGTATCTTCCCTTGAGCATTGTCAACAGCCCTTTTTACTGATTTTAAATGCATCAGAAATGTGTAAATTAACAAGTGGGGGTGTTCAATATTAACTATCTCATCTGATGACACTGCAGTTGAACAAGGGATACAGAATACAACCAATTATAAACAATAAACAGCACCACTCTCCATCCAAGCCCACAAATTCCAAGCCTGCAGGACTTCCAGGTAGGAGAAACATCTTCATCCTTATTAACTGTCTGTAGGTATCATTGGGGAGCAGATGACTCAAGGAAGTTCAGGGCACAAAGGTGGCCTCACCCAGAGAGGTGTCTGGTCTCCAGCACACAGCAGGGAAGGAGGGAACAGCCATGTGCTCAGATTGTTCCTGCAGCCTGCCCTCTCCCAGCAGGAAAAGCACCAGATCAACAAGCAGTAAACTCTAAAATCTGCTTTACCTCCCCTCCAGCAAAAGGATGCAGAAACTTCACTCACTTCATAGTGACAAAACTAAAGAGCCTCCCTTGCCTTCTAACAGGTAGGAAAACAAGTCTCCTCTACTTAGAGGACTGCTCCTTGCCTGAGGCCTTCTCCTTGAAGCTGCAGGACTTCCAGCTCCATTGGCTGCCAACAAGTCCTTGGGTGTGACTGCAACCTGTGCCTACCTGCAGGGCCACAGACACTGGAGTTTTCAGAGTATACTTGTCCTCAACCTACTCAGGCACATATTCTCCTGTATGGCTGCAGCCAGACCTGGCACAGCCTTTGTGAGAAGCAAAAAGGAGGGGTTGTGTGATCCTAATTTTACAGCCACTTTTCAAAATGGAAGAGTTCTTGAGGTTACTGATGTTCTTCAAGCCTGAAGAAAACCCCCAACATGTTTTCTCATCATTTAGGAGACGTTACTGAAAGGAAATGCATCAGTGTTCCCAGCTGGATCAAACTAATCTCAGGAACATCCAAGAAACAAAGAGACTGAACAGTTCTTCTTCCCTAAAGAAGGAGGCAAATACAGTAACTTTGATGTTATAGTGGTTTTAAAAGAAGGAATGCAGAACAGCCAGTCCACACTATTCTGTCTGAGACACACACAGGTCTCAGGTACCACAGAAGCAACTGGATTCTCACCTTCACGTCACTGTGTCTGTAGAACAACATGGTCTTTCCAAGGCGAGGATGACTCCAGGGTTTTGCCACACAATACGGAGCTATTTCAAATCCATCCTGAGTTGCCAGCCCTTTGGTAACATCAGATGACCTGGGTATCCTTGCACGGCCCGTGGGCTGCCCTGCACGACTCATCAACACCTGTGTCAACAACTGTCTCTTGTGCCACAGGTGAGTGCAAAGAAGTAACCACGACAGTGTGTGCACCTCGGAATTACTTCGCTTCTCAATCTGAGCTGGAACAGGCCTCTTCTCTCAGGGGAATGATGGCAGGGAGAAACAGCCTGAAGCCGAAGGGGAGGTTTAGACACGAGACAGGATCCATTTCCCGACAGACAGGTCGGACACCGAACAGGCTGCCCGGGGAGGCGATGCAGCCACATCCCTCAGGTGTTTCACAGAAACACAGCGTGAGAAACATTTGTCGCGCCAATGAACAGGCCCACACGGATCCTTCAACCAAGCACAGTTTATTTACATTCTTGCAAGAATGGGTGACCTAAACAAGCAGGCACACCCATAGCAAGGTGAATAACGGTTTATATTCCCTATTCCCCACGCAAACTTCCCTCCCCTGTTTCCCCACTGGCTGGGCACTCCAGGGTTCACAGCCCATCCCACGCTTCAAATTATCCTATAAGTTTCCCACCCCTGTTTACACATTCCATTTTAGCAGTTTATTTTTTACCTTTTAAGGTAAAATTTTGACCTTTCTTGCCCCCTGGGCTGCCTTCCCAATTAACAAACCTCCTGGTGTCATCCTGCCTGGAGGAGCAAGATGGAAGTGGCTTTGTTGGGTCTGATCTTGGCCATAAATCCTGCTCCATGTTGGGATCCCCCAGATGGAGCCCAATTAAGCCCCTCAGTTTCTTGGACTGTAAACCATCCCAGGTGTCACTGGAATGTGCAGGTACCTCACTTCTCTCTTAAACAAACTATTATAGCGCTATTGTAGCGCAGAGCTACAAAGATGATTAAGGGAGTGGAACATCTCCCTTATGAGGAAAGGCTAAGAGAGCTGGGTCTCTTTAGCTTGGAGAAAAGGAGACTGAGGGGTGACCTCATCAGTGTTTACAAATATGTAAGGGGTGAGTGTCAGGGAGATGGAGTTAGGCTTTTCTCAGTGATGACCAGTGATAGGACAAGGGGTAATGGGTGTAAATTGGAGCATAGGAGGTTCAAGGTGAATATCCGAAAAAAATTTTTTACTGTGAGAGTGACAGAGCACTGGAACAG